ATGAAAAGGATACCTTATCAACCGTATTGACGTCATGTTGCAGAAAAAGCGCCCGATGCAGCCTATTAATTAGCTTTTCAATTACGAACACTGGCATATTGTAGGCCAATTAAATCGATACCTAATAGTCAATAAAGTGTTAACTAGCTAAATTCCCCGTTTAGACCATTTAATGTATTCAATAGAACAATAATTTTAGATCCGAAAAAAAAACATCAGCCGGTATGCTTAAACGTAATCTAATTAGATTTGCCACAATAAAAGTCATCGATTTCGTTTCCTTTTTTTTAGTTCCGTGTTTTTCTTTTAAAAGAATTGACCTCAAGAGGTTGCTATTTAAAAAATCATACCAATCAGAATGTCCGTGTTTTAGGCACATATTCATATTTAATATTTCATAATAAAAAATTGGAATGAATATTTTTCTTATAAGGTAAGGTATCCATATAAATAAATACTATTTGAGGATACAATAAAAAAACTTTTTTTTTAAATGAACATTTTTTTAAATCAGAATTACTGTCAATAAGTATAAGTCACTTTATATTTATTTATCTATGGTTTTTTACTCTTATAGGCATTGTGTAAATTTCTGGATAATTTTCTAAATTATTAAATTTAGTAAAAATATCGTTTGTATCGTGTCTATTTTAAATCAAGTCTTGTCACTCGTCAAGCCAGGCAATTAAAGTTTATTTCGTAATTTATTTGCTAATTATCGCACTGTTGAAAATGGTACATAATATTTTCAGATATTTGATGGGTTATTGTGATTTTGATTAACAACTATTTAACAAATATTAGCAAAATTCAATTTCAACGTATACTTTTCAAAAATTCGAGCCAATCCGGACAAATCTAAGACAAAAAAACCTTAAACCCGGGACAAAAAAATGCTTCCAAAAAAAACTAGAACACAAGGTGCAAATCTAATAATTGACATTATAACAACAAATTTTATAATTGATGGATTTAATAGAAAAAGGGATATAAAGTCTATTATCAATCTCAGACGTGCACATGCAACCATACATAAAAATATAAACAGTATTCAACGAGTTCTAATGTGAAATATCAACATTTATAAGAAAAAAATACATAAAATTATTCGAAAAGCAAATATAAAAGTTTCACTATGAAGTTTCCTCATAGCATCGTTAAAACATTTCTTTCCAGAACAGGTATTTATACAGATACTCAGTAACGGTTGAAATTTTATTATGATATATTTAACATTGTAGAAAATAAAATATGAGTTTAGCTATGATAGAATAAGCACAATTGTCGGGCAGAACCATTTGATATTGCAGTGGAGAAGAACATTTTTAAAATTGATGCAACTTATTAAAACTTTTCTGTGTAACTAAACGGGTATGTATAGTTAAATAATTATTGATTTTACGCTCAAATGGTTAAAAGTAAACATAAAGTGCCAATTTAGATTAGTATTCGGCGGCCTGACAGCTTCATTCGCTACGAATATGTAAGACTTATTCGTGACGAATGTAATATCCCGGTCAATTTACGCATTCAAGGCTACTATAATTCATAATGGGTTGTAACTTGGCAAAATTGGTTAAAATACATTTATAAAAAAATGGCACAAGGTCAAAGATCTGAGACAATATTGTAGAGCATAAAATTATGTACAAAAAATGCTAAAATATTTTTTTAGCTCAGAGCCACCGTTTTAAAGATATCCAACTACAATGGAACAAATTATGTATTTTTTTAAACCAGGACAAGTTTGTACTCGAAGTAAAGAAGAAGAAGAAGATCAAGAAAACGATACGAAAATATGTAGAAACATTTGAAAATTATGACTACCAGAAATAAATTTAGTTGCTTTTTTATAATTATTACCAACCCACATTCACAAATATTATTTTGCAAGTGTTCCGAAACAAACAAAATCACGAAATAGGCCTACTGAGAAAACCAAGTAAAAAAACGAGCTAAGCACACTATCTCGTAGGTGGCGTTTTAACGTACTTTAAAACGGTGTGTCTGAGCAAAAAAAGTATTCATGCATTTTTTGTAGATAATTTCATGCTCTACAATATTGTCTCAGGTAATTTTGCGATAAAACTGACCATTTAGCTAAAAATCGCAAAAGGGTCATTTTTTACCTTTGACCTTGTGTCATTTTTTTTAGCTCGCATCGGATCGATGAGAACTTTTCTAATAATTTTATGTATCTATGAGATTTCTTTTATAATTGCATTTTAAACAAGTCTGCCAAGTTACAGCCCATTATGAATTACTGTAACCTTCAGCCTGATTTTAAGTTTAAATTGACCGGGCTATAACTATCAGGCCGCCGAATTCTGCAATGCTTATTTCTTTACCACGTAATCATGGCATTTTAGTTTAAATGCTTATCTTTCCATTCCGTATTTGGTTTTTACATTACGAATCGTATATTTAGTAATACGCTGAAAACACGACATCATGTTTTTCAATTTGTATCCAATTAAATTGCTCAATTTAGAAGTGGCAATACAATAATTTTAATCTAGAATTCAATATTTAAAAAAAATCATAGAGCGCCGGGGGTTCTGGATTAAAATGTATGTTTATGACCAATATCTTAGGCATTTTTGTAGAGATCAATGTTGATCAAACAAACTATAGCATTCTTCTCAATATCTTTTAATATCCATTACATATTGTTTTGTTATTAACAAAATGATATCTCGAGATGTTACCGTAACGAGCGAATTCGCGCGATTCAACTGAAATTGATGCTTTGTTACTATGACATATTTAACATTTTTACAAATATGTCGCACGGTACTAAACTTAACCCTTTTCGGTTGTTTGTCCACTCTCAGCCACCAAAGCCTTTTTACCGTTCCGATCGTATGTCTGCTTTTAGCCACCACGGCAAGTTACTATACGAATAGTGTACACACTGTATGCATTCATACAGCATACACTAATTATATAACATAACTTTTATACAAAAACAACACTAGATAAGTGTATTGAATAAAAAAATATCTAAAGATCACAAAACAATTATTAAATATTCTTTACACATTCTAAACTTGCGTGTTCTGCTCAATCGATGGAAAATATTTCCGAGTACTACGATACCCATCTCCAAATTTAATCCGACCGAAAAGGGTTAAAAGCATTGTCAAGGCAACAAAAAAAACTTAAACATCGAACCTAAAAGTACAATTTTATAAAGATTAATTAATGTCGCGTTTTGTGAAAGCAATGTTTTCGACACCAAGAACGTACATCGGCTTACATACAGTTTGGATGAAAAGTTCGAGAACAAAATTTCATAAGCCAGGAGGAAGAATAAAATTGTAAATTGAACAATTAAACATATAAACATTGCATTAAGAACCGATTAGTTTGTCTTGCTGAAGCTCGTTATCCGACGAAATTGCGGCCGAATACCGTTGAAAATAAATTCTGAAAATTGTGTGCAGAACTGGTACATACGTTTCGAAAAAAAATTTGCTAGATTGGCAGGTTATATATTATCACAAATTACTATATATTACTAAATGAAAATTTTTGCCCTGTGAACAGTCAATCGTTTCGCATATTCCGAATATGTATTGCATTTATAACAATAACTTAAATGCAAATCAAATCTCAACTACACATATTTGGATCAATGATTATACGAATGAAAAAACAACTACTGAGTTTTTTCCAACATGCCCCTGTAGTATACAATGTCCCTTTTCGGCCGACTATTGAAAATTCATCAAATTTATTGAATGTCCTTTACTGGACAGTTGTAAATAAAAGAGATAATAAAAAAAAAATAATAAAAAATTATTATACCTAATCCGAAAAAAATTCAGCTAGAGTAGCACAATATGTCTGAGCACTCAGAGTGTAATGAAGTCATAAGTTTTGCATATACAAGTATATTTCAAGTATCACTTATTAAAAGTTATTTGTAATTCTAAAAGCAATTAACGTTTGGGTAAGTAAAACCATCGTATTTCCAAACAATAAATAAATTATATTTTTTCGTATATGAACAATCCTGTAATATTATTAAAATATTTCACTAAAAAAAACATGTACAATACAACCAATATGATTAAAACCACTTACAGCTTTATGATATAAAATATTAAATTAATAAACGATATATGTGGCATTAGATATAAGTTACTAACTAAAATGTAACTGTTACTTTCTAAAAAGTAATTCGTATAAGGCATTGTGATAATAACATATATACATACATTTTATGTACCCATTTTAATTATTTATGAAAAGTTTGTACGCAACAAATACTTATGGCAAAATGTATTTTTGTGATGTTTTAATTTTAAATTAAGTTAATTGTGATGTAGTTTATAATTTGAATCTAAAACGCTATAAAATATAAATAAAGGCAATTTTCAAATTTTTACAAAATAGAGTATTGCACTTATACCATTGTTTGACAATACTATATCACACGTTACAAAGATGTGTATACATATAGACACACCCATATACATATATATATATATATATACATATATATATATATATATATATATATATATATGTGTGTGTGTGTGTATATATATATTACACACAGCTATAAACACATTCATAGAAACATATACCAGCAAAAATGTGCAAATATTAAACAAAATAAAAAATATTTGTTTATAAAATTCTATCATTTGTGATGAAATAGCACTGATAAATACTATTAACATGTAAAGCACTGATAAATTGGACTAATCCAGATACTATATACATCATAATATCACTATAAAGTTTTTTTTATTCAATAAATGTGATTTTAATTATATGAAGTAAAAATTACATTTTATTTGTAATATTTACTTTCTTTTTATTTTATTAATATTTGGATTATATTATTTCTTCAGGAATAGATTCAATGTTATTTCAACAAGACATTCAGTTCTGATTTGAATCACAATTAAGTAAAAAAAAAATTTCGAAATTTTCAATTCAACTGGTGAATATTATTGCAGTAATGTTTGGATAGTATTTCTTGCGTTGAAAGTATGTTTAAAAAAAATAATATTGGGTTAGTATAAGTCTTGAAACCGCCCACATCTAATCTCATTGAAATAATGGCTCACTTATAATAAAAACTAATGAATTGATTTGTTATTTAAAAGTGTCTATAATAGAATCCATCCATAATGCTAATAACATATAAATTTTAATATATAAACAGTTAAAATTTTGTGTTACTATAACGCTTAATAAAATCTTATTTTCAACTAACTGTTGAAATTTAAATATACAAAATATTTTAAAATTAAATAACTTATTCTAAAGCGTTGGGTAGTATTCTAACCATTCGCGGCTTCTTTATACATTTGTACTGTCGCGTATGCGATGTGATTGTAAGGTCTGCTAAATCAGCATAAATCTGAAAATTTGCACACTTTCTCAACAGTATTGAATAGTAATAATAATTGTATTATAAGTAATAAAATGATTATTTCAGGTATAAAAATAATGCAAAGGGAAAATTTAGCATAAAATAAATCATTCACGCTCACGATCAAGATTCAATTTAATGTATCAAACTAAGGCTAAAATTGTATTAAACGTATCAAAATAAGGCTTATAAGGCACAATTGACATATCATAATATAAATATACTTGCCGGTTGATAAATCAATGTTCTAGATGCATTTAATAATGTAACAGTAACATTAGCTACATGTGCCAAAGATGTGTGCAAATTTAAGTAGTTTTAGTAGGCCTTTATATGTGTATATGTATATGATATATATATATATATATATATATATATATATATAATTTTTATTATTAACTTATAGAGTCTAAGGGGCTGCTACCGTTTATCTATATCTTAATGTGCTGTATTTTAATATATTAACAGTGGACGGCATTTCTTATGACTCTAAGGTTGAGGTCCTGTAGGCTGTTGCTGTGGTACGAAGTTTACGACTTCCTCATAGACATATTCTATGGAATACAGAAAATACTTTGTGAAATAAATATTGTTAAATATACCATATACCAAATCGGGACTAGTTAATTACAAATAAAAGCAAGCTAATAGAATCATAACAGCCTATATTTCTACATGATAAATGATATGGTGATGCACCAAATGGAAAGCACTAATATGTGAATAAAATATGTAACATATGTATATGCATTTAAACATGATTGATAAATAATGTTACTTGTGATGAAGTTATTAGTGAAAATTGTTAACCGTTATAAATAGATGCATAAAATATTTGTCATTAACAAAAATAAAATATATATGAAGCATGAAAGCATGAGAAAGATTTCAATATTCATTATATGTTTCAAAATGTTAATAACGATAGCAATTCCATGAAGAAGGCAGCAAATTTGGTATCACACCGATATCTATTCCAATAACAAGAAAAAAAATTTTGAACTACTATTTAACTTTCAGAAAGTAAAGTTTATGTTATAATTAGAAAATCCGATTCCTATATTTTCTAGGCACAGAAATAAAATTCTAAACTGATTTGAAAGAATAATTCAAAGATTATATTATATTATATTATATTAGATTAGATATCAATTAGAGCTCATGCTGATTGAAAAGATTGATCAATTTTTATACTACTTTTCATAATTAGCGGTTAAAAAAATATAGTTTTAATTATTCAAAAATACTTTAGATATAACTTGTGTTAAGTTTTACTAGTTAAGTTTATTATGTGATGATAAGCCAAGTAGCACCCTCAATCTATCGATATCATTTAGAGCTCATGCTGATTAAAAAGATAGATCAATTTTTATACTGCTCTTCATAATTAGCGGTAAAAGAAATATAGTTTTAAATATTCAAAAATACTTCATAGATATAATTTGTGTAAAGTTTTACCAGTTAAGTTTATTATGTGATGATAAGCCAAGTAGCACCCTTGTGTTAAAAAATAGACAAACGATTTTCTCTATATTTGCTCAAAACAGGGTTTTTTATTTTAATGAATTGATGGTTTGGTTGAATATAGGTTAGAACTAAAAGATAACTTCCAGTCAAATTTATACATTCTAATCCCATTCTAAATATGTCAACTAATAATCGCGACTAATAGTCATAGGTACAAATATCAGTTAAACCCATTCCTCATAATTAAGATGTTTTTTAACAAATTATGAAAACTTAACAATTTGATATAATTGTGATTCTTCTGTTAAAAATATCTCAACTAAATTATCTAAAACTAAAATTATTTCTTAATTCAAAAGCTATTTGCTAGTTTTCATATCTTGCTTATCAACAATTATTTTCAGACATTAAAAGTACAGAATCTCACTAATATGACACTTTGCTAGACTGATACCTCCACTAATCCGACACCCTCGCCACCGAAGCGCTGAGCAATTTTTTGGAAATTCCTCCGCTATTTCCAATAACACATATTAAAACTTATGACTATAATCCAGTAATCCGATACCCTCTGGTTTTTAGGAGTGTCTGATTAGTGAGATTCTACTGTACTTGCAGATGGTCCAAAGGACATAACGCCCTTCGCACCTTGTTTAATTAATTTCTCAAATGAGAAAAAGCATTGCAGTAGTGTATATTCAAAACAAAAACGCATGCATGCCTAAGAAACAAAGATAGCTCACCTTTCCATTTCTCTACTGGTAAGTCCATGTCCTCGAAACTCTGATCGTACGGCGTTGAGACAGGTTCATCCGAGGGGTCCGCGTACTGCGTGAGGTATTTGTGCGCCAAAGCTTGTTCGGCAGTCAGGCGACGATCGGAATCGACTTCGAGCATTTTCTCCAGGAGATCCACGGCCAAGGGATTTGCACCGCGAAACACCTCTTTAAAATCGCGCTTCTTTAGTGGTGGCAGTGATTGTATGTAATTTCGAGCCTATAGTCAAAGAGATTATTATTAGAAAAGCTAGCAAAACAAAAGCACTTTTATAAGTTAATTATAATCTTAGCATATATAATTAAAATATCAAATAGCGATTGTTGCGGATGAGTTTAAGAAATCCTTTCTGAAAAAGCCGATGACATAGAATATGAATCTTGTGTGGTTCAGCTATTCATAACAATAAGTTGATTGCATCGGGATGACTTTTTGCTATCTATAATAATTTAACCTTTCCACGTTTTCAATGTGAATCCATAACAAAACCAGGATGGGACTTGGACATGAATATGTCGAGTAACATCAATTGATGCGCTCATTACAGTGCATACAAATATCTAATTATATTGTAATTCTGAAACAAGTTATTGAACTAAGTCCATATTTTGACAAAATAAATAAATTTTATAACTTATATAATTAATTCATATAATTCAGTTTCGGGAATACTAACAAGCTGTTGCTCATATAAAACTAATAATTACAACTTTGTCTCAAAAAAGTGATGTAGAAATATTAATAAATAAATAATAATAAATAGTATAAATATCTTCAACTATTGTTGAAATAAATACCATTTATTTTTTAATAAAAAAAAATGAAATCAATTGAGAACACACATTGAAAATTGGCGATTGAAAATTAACGATTCGTTCAGAATGTTTTATAGTTTATATTTATATTTATATTTTATATAAAAAAAAGGATATATAAACGATATGCACAATAAAACTTAACCAAGTTTAGAAGCAGCTTTCATTATTTTCGATGGCGCTGCAAATACAATTATAAAGATATCGAACAAACAATACGCATCCAAAGTTAATGTGTCTCATTATAATTATAATATTGACTTCTGGAGTTAATTCTAAAATAAAAATAAATTTTAAGCACTATACGAAGAGTATAGAAAAAAACGTTTTAAACATATTCAGTATCTAATAATTCATCACGAGTGTGCACTAAATCTGAGCCCACACAAAATATTTTGAACACACCATTCAATAACATATATTACTTAGTACCAAAAAATGCGCGTATTTATTTTATAAGTGTGTACATGCACTTGCCTCAACACTGGTTATTTTTGCAACTGTTTCATTATCCGGCGTTCCACACAAAACCAACACTCTGGTAAGATGATCAATATCTGCTCGCATGATTCTTAGTTAAGGTCATTCATTTCAAAAATTGCACTCAACAAACATAATTAACACAAAACGAATTAAATTTAATGATCAAACAAATTAATATTTTTTTTTTAAGAATTGATTTACATATATTCACATTCACTTCATAAAGGTCATTCCTAAAATAGCACTATTAAAGCTGAACAATGGGTTAAAATTAAACAATGTTTATTATTTTATTAATGCAAAATCTGATGAATAATAGCAAGTTCTAATTTAACTCTTTACTGTTTCTACAAATGTGAGGAAATAAATTACAAATCAATTTAACTACAAATTAGTTTCTTGTAATTCAATAGCATAGTTGATTTTTTCAAATAAGCAAATTGTAGAGAAGAGAATTAGAATAAAATAAAGCGTAATTACTAGTTAAAAAAAGAAACTTGCTATGTATTTCACATATTTACTTCCATAAATATGAAACAGTATTGTAGAAAAAATGTAAGTATATACATACACATGAAGCACATTAACCACTAGAAACTAATATCTACTAAGCACATATGAAGCGAATAAAGGAAAACTACACAACTCACCGATTCTGAAGAAATCTTCTGCATAAATTCCTCTTTTGGTGTGCCCAGTATTTCCATTATCAAATTTAATTGGTGTATATCTAAATGAGGCGATAAGGCAAAACACATGCCTGCTTGCTACATGCATAGTAAAAATTGATATCTGACACATAGATACTTTAATTTATTCGAAATCACCCTCAAACATGTAGATTAGAATGGAAGTAATTAACTAACAATAATCTGAGATCAAAAACTAAATTTCATATTATTTTGAAATTTCTAAGACAAATTTCATAAAATGACAATTTTATTCTAAAAATTGACAATATTTAGAAATGACTTCAGTCCTTCCGATCTTCAAGTAAGTTTAGATATGAATTAGATGTTGATCAAAGATAAATAACAAAACTAAGAAAGAGAAAAATGGTATTAAAAAAAACTATCAATATAAAAATCTGCTATTTTTACCAAATAATACCATTCGTTATTAATCTCTTTAATTCGAACACAAAATTTCATATTCTTTATATAGTATAACAAATCATGCCATTCACGTTTAAGTGTATCAACATGCTTAATCTTTCAATGCACATATTTAATTCACAAAAACTGTTTTTTATTATTAATCATTAATATGTTTAATGCATTGAAAGTGAAAAGAGTGTAAAAAAGTATTGAAAACATTTCATTGTACACCGAGAACTAAGAATTGAATAATGAATGACTTATCTCAAAACATGAAATAGCACATAAAGCTACATCATTGCATATGTCACAGAAAATGCAAATATGTATCCTTATCTTTTTTTATCTTTAATGTAGCACAGCATTTTATTGAGGTTTACTTCTAAACTGAATATATTAAACTATGTACGCGCTGAACTCAGGTTTGCAAAATTTTCTAGTAACCCAAACCCAAATTCTACTCAGACCTACATATTAAGGGCTTAATAATATGAATCAGTCACATCAAATATTTTGTTGGAAAAAATATTGACATTTATATTATTTAAATGTTTAATGAATTTGATGTTCAGTGAAGAAGAGATTGGATAAGCACAATGTGATGAAGTATAATGAAAAGGTTTAAATGAGCACGATGTGAAACAGTGCCTAATTTAAAAAGAAAAATGCAAAACTATTAAAATGAATGTGAAACTGTCCTATTATTCACAATTCAAAAGTATCAAGAGTAGAAAATTATTTACAAAGATTACCTGATTTTCCAATATGATTTTGTGTTAATATATATTTAACCATTTTGCACAGAACATGAAATCGTAATAGCTAAATTGAACTTAATGAAGTATAAATATTCAATCTTTCAAATATGCAAAAACATATTGAATGAATTAATGATAACACATCACACAATAATGAATTCACTTAATACAATGATCTAAAAAAAATTATAGAGCTTAATAAATTATCTATTATTTGAAAAGTTAATCAATATTATAATAAATAATATCAAAAAAGGATACGATCAGTTCCTGGGAACAATGTTCTACCAGTTAATAGTTCAGCCATAATACAACCAACAGACCAAATATCTACAGTTTGGTTGTAATGCATCCAATTAAGCATAATTTCAGGTGCTCTATACCATCTTAAAAAATGTGTGATTTTAAATATAAAATAATTGCAAATATTAAAATTAAAAATTATAAAGAAAATAGTGTATTACCTTGTGGCTACATATCCAGTCATTTCATTTTCAGTAGGTCGTGCTAGCCCAAAATCAAGAATTTTCAATTCACAATCTTCATTAACAGCAATATTTGATGGTTTCAAGTCCTAAATTTTGTTAAATTGGTTAACTCTCAAAAGAATTTCAAAACAATTTTATATTCTTGATTATTTACTGACTTGTGTAGCTGTTATTGATTCACACATAAATAATAAGCATATAAAATCAATAAAATTAATAAATAAATAGAAAAAGAATTATTGATATATATATATATATATATATATATATATATATTTGATATATATATATATATATATATATATATATATATATATATAATTAATATTTACATTAAATATGAAGTTACCCAAATATGAAATTTTAAAAAAACTTACCCTATGAATTATTCCTGCTGAATGTATATACTTTAAGCCACGCAAAATTTGATAAACAAGAAATTGCACATGATCATCTGATAACTTCTGCGTTCTTACAATATTATTCAAATCAGCACCCATGAGATGGGTGACTAAATAAACATGTTGAAAATTTTCTAATGAGGTAGATGGATGAAATACATCTAGAAGACCAATGACATTCTCATGATTCATATGCTTCAACATACGCAGTTCTCTGTAAGTTCTTTTGGCATGAACAGCACTTTGAAAAGGCCTAGCTAATTTTTTGATTGCCACTTTTACATTATGTACTGTATCAACTGCAGAGCTAAGAAAAGATTTAAAATAAATATTGCATTGTAAAAAGCAGGGTCTAGTAACATAACACCCACACAAACAAAACTGATATAGACTTAAAAATATATGTATATATCTATTTAGTAATTTTTGAGTAAAATATGACATTAAAACAAATCTAAAGCTGTTTAAATAAACCATGGTTCAAACATAGATATTTAAACCCAGTAAAATAGTATGATAACGTATTTTTATTTAGTACAACGTGAAACAACCATAAGTACATACCAAACTTGTCCATAAGCCCCAGAACCAACTGGAGTTAACATTTGATATCTCTCTGGTATTTCCCATTCTGTTTTGTTGATTTCTATTTTATAGAACTTCGGCATAGTTACAATTCACGAGCACAAATTATCACACTAAATCAAACTATTAAATCAAAGTTATCGCAGTTTGCATACGAATACCATTCAATACCATTCTCTCTAAAAATATACGAAATGTCATAATGCAATACGATGCGAAGTTAATGTGGAACAGAAAGTGAATGTTGCACAATGTCAACGTACCAACATAGAATAGTGATTATTATAATAATAAGGAAACCGAACAGTACCTGTTCCCATAGATATATACATAGATAAACAAGTATAAATAGATAGCTATGTCGGGCGATTTGACGTTTCATCCATAGATAAAAGAAGAGTATATAGATCGCTCTCTCGGGCCATATTTCGTTGCCACATTCCTGTGTTAGTTGAAGCCCCGCGCTACAGATGGCACTAGTCCGCCTGAACGGGTGCGTATAAAAAATACTATAGAAATGAACCAAAATTATATGGACCGTTTTAATTCAAAATTAAAAAAAGAAAAATTGAAAAAAAAAAAAATTTGAAGCATTTATTTTTCACAAAAACATTCTACATTATATCTACATAGTTCTCTTTATAAACAAAGCACACATAGCATAAAAATGTACATAAATATACACATTATCCACAATGTATATTATATATATATATTATATATACATTATATATGATTATAATAGATGGTAGTAAGCTGTAAAAACTATGTGCGAAAAGCATAAAAATGTACTTAAATGTACACGCTATCCACAATGTATATATATATATACAAATATATATATATATATATATATATATATATATACATATATATATATATACATATATATATATATATATATATATATATATATATATATGTGTGTGTGTAATATCATTTTAGCATATCAGCCTTTCAAGCTGAGCACAAAAAGAATAGAAATGTACATGAATGTATATATTATTTATATATATACATATACATATATAACCACAATTCTTTGATTGATATTGATTCAGATCAATATATAACCAATATATATATATATATATATATATATATATATATATATTTACATATATATTTATTTTGATTAACATTAAGTTACATAATATCTATGATGTACAGTCTCTATTTGGGAATCTTTTCTGCGCTATTGTTAATGTGCATTCAAATGTTTGTTCAAAATGTCATTATTATCATTGTCTTAAAGAAAAACAACAATCATTGATATTATTATAACAGTACTTAATAGTTTTCTTATAGCATCTACAATAAGACATTTTAGAGTAAAGCTATTGACATCTCTTTCAGAATAGTCAAATGCAATAAGCAAGTGCACATTAAGGGTGTTTTATCCCTTTGCTTTTTAGAATTTTATCATTAATCATGATTATACTTTGCCTGTCATTTGACAGTTCCTGAAAATCTATACAATGTGATTCCCTTTATCATCATTAAACAACACAGATAATAATATTTCTTGTAATATCAAAATGAAATTATTAATACTTAAAAACTTTTCCTGTGACATAGCCAAACCTAAATTAACCTTTGCACTAGCTAGAATTTCACCATTAATTGAGAATTTCCTTTCACTTACGATTATATCATTAGTGTTTTTAGTATGTTCTCCAAACTGACTTAATATATAATTACGAGTCGTACTGTTCAATATTAGTGGGAGATCAGCAAAGATTTCAGCACATTTCAGACTTCATTCTTATTGTTTTTTCCTGTGTATTCATTCATCTCATATCAATACTTGTACACTTGTGAATGTGTTTAGTAAACCGTCTAAACATTTTACATTTGAACGTATTTTCCTTTTATACTGCTGAAAAAATCGATGTAGAATTATTAGTTATGATCCTACATTATTAGAACAAGATTAATTTATATTTAGTTATTTAATAACATACCTTTCAGAGAGCTGACAGGAATTCTCTCTGTCTATTTATAACCTTAAAATTTCTAGTATTGATATAGTTAAATGTCTCAATTATTTCTGAATTATTAAACTGTAATGAAAAATCATATCAGAATAGTACAATCAAATGAAAGTAATTCGAAGTATGCATATTAATAAAAGTACTCACTTAGATTGAAAGCCGGCAAATATTATTACTTATTTTACTTTTACTTCGTCGTTTCTCGCTGGAACTACATAATACATGCATTTTTCTTGGTATTTCTTCTTCGTTAAACAATGCACTTCGACAGCTTATTTGTTTTTTACTCTAACAAGCATTTATTATATTGTCTAGGTTATCTCTCCATGAAAAATTTATTACAATGGACGCCATGTTTAATTTAAGTATCTGTCATATGTCAAATTCGATTTCAAAGTGAAAAAAAAAAAAAAAAAAAAAAACAAGCGCGACCGGCGGCAGGGGCTCTAACTAAACTCGGGTTACAGACGTTTGTTCCGAGATTACCGGCCATGGTTTCATCGATTGAAGTGCGGAGCTAAGATTATTGATGGCAGCACATGTTCATTTTGTAAATTAACCCCTGGTATTACTTCTACATTTGTACATATAATCATTACAGCCAAAAAATCTAAAAAAATTTTAAATATATACTTAAGTGTTCCGGTTCAATTCCGCCTGTTTTTGTATCAATTATTCAACTAAACTACGTGATTGAAAAATATGCATATAAGAAAAATCGACTCGTTATCTTATTTCTATAATAATTTACATTCTATAGAATGACTTGAGAAATCAGTTATTGTTACATGCAGAATATAACAAAACGTGTATTATGAAAAAACAATGGGCCAAATCATAAAATCTCAAAAATAATTAAATACTGATTTAATTCATGCATTTTTTAACTGCTAAAATTCTTACTCTACTCTTTTCTTCGATTTTAATAAAACTAAGTCAGGATGTTTCATTAAAACAACTGGGATTGAGTAGTTACCCAAACAAAACCGCAAATTATTTTTCAGAGTCACATGCTCATGCACAATTACATGCTCTCCTGTATACACATACATAAGAAACAATCAATTAGGATTGTATCGCGAATATTTGGTTACTATTTGGTATTCGGCATATTTGGCACGTTTTTTTATATTCGGCCGAATACCGAATAGTTAAAATCAAAGGGGCCGCCTTTATGCGATAAAGAGCGATGGATTTGTATTTAGTTTATATAATATGATATAAAGGAATTAATTCGTTATTGTATATATAATAATTTAAACTTTATAGATTTTTGACATTATAAATGATCACGTGAAGAACTTTTTTCAGAATATTCACAAGATACTTTATTGTTACATGTTTATATTATTTAATATGAATCATTCAATGGTAACACGCATGTGTTGTATCAGTACAATAAAGTCATTCATTACATGAAATCTAAGCATTTTCAAATAAAGAGCTATTATTTGATCATTTTTTATTTATTTTGTTGTGATTAGCCTCCCTACTATATATAAAATAATATTGAGTTTATAAAAGAAAATATTAAATATTTATGAAAGAATTAATTAGAAATACATTTACATATATATGTTTTTTTTTTTTTTTTTTTTTTGTTACAATTTATTTTTGTTAATCAAGACTTTACATATATATGTAAATGTATTTCTAATTACTTCTTACATATGTATAAAAAATTGCTTTTTTCATATTTTACCATTTATTTCCCCATCACATGTGGTATTCAAGTATTCGGTATTTGGCCAAATAGCATAAGTGGTGCCAAATATTCTAAATAACAAAGAGTAGCCGGATAGTGGTTGCAAGTCATAAAACTTGAATAAACTTATAGCGCGTTAGTAATATAACAATTACTATTAAAACAAACGAGCTCAGACACCAAAAACCTGCCGAATAGCATGCCGAATATTTGGTATTCGGAATTTTGCCGAATATACTAATCGTTGCAAGCTTACAGACAATATTACCTTAACTATATCTAGAATATTTAGAAAATCAATAATACTAAAAAAAAAAAAAAAATTGAATTATATGTAACAAGAAAATAACATAGGATTTACTATATCAACAAAAATCCTTTATTGAACGTTTTAAATTAAAATTTATAAAACAATATTTGACAATTTAATAGTGAGTAAAAACGCCAAAACGGATACCAATATTTTTAACATATATGCAGTTAATTGTATATACAAATGTATATACATTACTATATTACACATCATTATATACATACATAGATCTAGACACAGGCACATAACACACACACATATTTGTATTTATGTGCATGTGTGTGTATGTATATATATATATATATATATATATATATATATATATATATACAAACATACACACACACAATATGCATACATACATTTATACATGTATATATTCATATTTATACATATATATGTATATATATGCATATATAATAAAAACTATATTAAGCACTTATTCACATGAACACGTATGTATGTAGAAGCTTATGTTGACATTAAATTTTTTAGATGCTGTGTAATTTCAACAGTGTCAACATTAGATTTATCAGTTGTGTTCGAAGCTGGCATTTGTGCCAACCTAGCACAAGCCTTCTTATGCATGAACCAATGTAATCGTTGACATTCACGATCACAATACTGAACAGCACGGCATTTTGAACACTTTTTTGCTGGTTTCTGCAATCCACAAGTGAAACATGTAGTTACTTCATCATTAAATGCGCTATGTCCATTTATGGCACCAGATAACACTGTTAAAGCTGGAGGAGATTCTTGGCCGGCTAATGTCATAACAACCTATTTTTTTTTTATTAAAATGAATCATTCATTTAATTGAAAATTCAGTATAATGCATTTTTGATAGTATACCTGTCGAAACGTAGCACATTCTCTATTTGGAAATTCTCTTACACATTCTCTAATAAAGTTTTCTTGGAATTCTGGGATTCCTATGAAAATATAAAAAAAGCAATTTCAGTGGGCTGCATGCATTCAGAAAAACAAAATAGTGTGAATAAGGTTTGATTCGTGTTTTCCTAACTAATCATAAACAGTAGTTACAAAACATGATCTAAATAAATAAATAAATAAACATATATATATATATATATATATATATATATATACACACATACATTTATTTAAATGTCTGAAAGCTTTAAATCACAAAAGACTGCAGTATGTTGGAAAAATTTAGTATTAAAAATGGA